CTCCTTAGAAGCCAAGATGGCCAAACTTTGTGTCTCATCCTTCGGACATATTGTCAGGAGGGACCAGTCGCTGGAGAAGGATATCATGTTTGATAAGATGGAAGGTCAGAGAAAAAGAGGAAGACCCCTAATGAAGTGGACTGACCAGGTGGCATCACTGATGGACTCAAGTGTGGCAACAGTAGTGAGGTTGGCCCAGGATCAGGCAGTGTTTCATTCTCCTGTGCATAAGGTCGCTATGGGTCGGTACCGACTCGATGGCACCTAACAACAATATCTTGGACATGCCCTACTCTGAGCTATTCCCAACATCTCATCACACCTTCTCATCTGGCTTTTCTCAGGTCTTCCATAAAAGTGAGGGAAGTGCTGGGGTCAGGGCCAGGAACCAGGTCTCACTCAGCTTGGGGTCAGGGATCAAGGCTCAGCCTGGGACAGGGGATCAGGGCTGACTCAGTCTGTGATCAGGGATCAAAGCTGAACCTGAAACGGGACCAGGCCTCATTCAGCTTGTGGTTAGAGATGAGTTTGGGACCAGGGACCAAGTCTCACTCAGCCTGCGGTCAGGGACCATGGCTTGGCCTGGGACCCCTCATTTCAAAAGACCACGTCCTCAGTCTTGCAGTCCCCTCCCAGGCAGAGACCACGTTCAGGCCAATGGTGACACAGGCTGTGTAACCTAGGACTTCGTGTGACCTAGATGGCCTCCCATCTTTGTTCCCACAGAGCTGGGGACTCAGCTGTGGACACTCTGTTCCCACCCTGGCATGTTCACCTGAGGGTCTGAGTCAGGACCACCCACCAGGGGCAGAGTGCAGCCACACCCCTGCAGAACATCTCCATCCCCATGGGGTGGCCAGGCCTAGCCTTAGCCAGGGTGTGGGAAGCTGGCACTGCCCTGCCTCCGACTGTGCTGACAGACGTTTGGATTGAAACATAACCCCTGTTAAGCTCTCTCACCCGTAGTGCTGAAACCATGACAGAGACCCCAAATGTTGAGTTCCAGAAGGATGGAGGTGTGGGGGGACAGGGTGGTGGTCTGGGGAGCAGCTTTAGGAGGTGTGTTTGGATGTGGGGGGTGACACCCTTCCAGGAAGCCCTGTGAATAGGGGAGGGGCAGTGATCGTCATGAAATGATGATTAAACCTGAATCTTATCGACCCCTCCTGCTTCCCACCCACCTCCCCCGCACCAGGTGCTCACTGAGGATGCCTCCCTTTCCCCTGTTCCTGTTGTAAGGTGCCGTCATTGAGTTGGTTCTGACTCACAGTGACCCCACATACAACAGAATGAACCACTGCACAGTTCTGCACCGTCCATTGTTGCAGCCAGTGAGACACTCCATCTCCTTAAAGGTCTTCCTCATTCTCCGTGGCACTCTAGCCCTGACCCTTGCCACTCAAGATCTTGAAGCTTTACCTCTCATCTCTTGTTGTCCTTGTCCCAGCCACAGTCCTAGCTCCCTAAGGCTGCAATAACCTCACTCCATCTCAGCCAGTTAGCATCGAGACCTGCCTAGGTAAAAGCCTCCATGCCCCAAATCAAAGGGCACTGAGCCCTGGACAAATCTACTTGGCTCTCAGGGTCTCACCTATGAGGTATGTTGTTGTTGTTGTTAAGTGCCATCTAGTTGGTTCCAACTCATAGCGACCCTGTATAGGGTTTCCAAGGAGAGGCTGGTGGGTTAGAACCATGAACTTGTGATTAGAAGTCTGGAGGAGGGGCCAGGTCTGCAGCTGAAGGCAGGTAGGAAGGGGGTGACTGTGAGCTCCCAGGAAGCCTCAGACAGATCTGTCCTACATGAGAACAAGCTCTGCCCCTGAGGGACCCCTTGTCTGCTGACTGAGCTCTGCTGGGAAGGCTGTAGACGGTGTTCCTGATGGGAGGAGAGACCACCCTGAGTGCCAAGACAGAGTCCAGGCTGAGTCATCCCAAGTCTCCTTGTGACGAACAACTTCATCAACCCCTCTTCTTCAACTCTCCATCCGTTCACCCATCCATCCACCCTACTCTTTCATTCATCTGTCCCACACTCACCGATCTGTTATCGATCACTCCCTGGCTCAGTAGTCACCATGGCCAGGCCTGGACTGTGGGTGGAGGCCTCTGAGAGGAATGGGAACATGTCCCCTTTGTTGAAGGCCCAATGGTCTCAATGGGACCCAATGGTCTAGTATCCCAGCAGGATAGGCAGGGCAGGCTTCAAATGCCAAGGACAGGTGAGTGGGTCAAGGACGAGGGGGCATTGGTGCCAGACCCTAGAAATGAAGATGGGGTAGAGCTGGCAGCAGGCTGGGTTTGGTGTGAACTGAAGTGGCAAGTTGAGTGGGGCAAGCGCAGACAGGGGCTGTGGGTCCACCTCAGATAAAGGGCGGGGGCCATGTTGGACAGCCCTGCCAGGCCTGGAGAGGGATCCTTGATGTTTCTAGCTTCTGGTTGAGGCAGGATACCCCGAGGACTAAAGGGGATGCTGGGAAGAGGTCCCACCAGAAACTCTTTCACCTGGTCTCACCCTCGATTTATACATTCATATAGCCTCACAGATGCTATCGGGTCTGGGCTTGCCTGGATCTATGGGATGGCCCTGCCCGAGGCTGCGGTATCATGGGTTCTCTGCAGACGGGGACAGCAGATTCAGGTGAAGCAAGCAGACATCCCAAGAACACACACTGCTCTTGACTGGGCCCAAACCTGGTCTCCCAGTTCCACACCCAGGGCCAGCAGGGCAGGTGTGGGTACTTAGAGGAGGGAGGGGGGTACCATTTAAGTGGGACATAAATCCTGTCCTACTAGGTTACATCTGACCCTGGCGTGGAAAAGTAGCAACTTTTCCCAGGGAGGTTCCTCCATCTGCCATCCAACCATCCAACCACTCACCCACCCACTCACCTACTCACCCATTCGGCCATCCAACCCCTCATCTATCATCTGTCTTTTCACAGGCCTATCTGCTTACTGTGTATTCATTTATCCCACCATGCTTCCATTCACCCATCCTCCAACCCTCCCACCCATCCCACTGAGCAGCCTCTGGACCCCTCTGAGGCCTCCTTCCCTCCAGGCAGCCTCAGACACCTCTCCAGAAGCTGGTGTCCCCCCTGTCCTCGACAGGGGCAGGATCTCCTTGCTGACATCCCTCAGCCCCACAGCCTGGCCTCCAGCATTTGCCCACTAAGTTCAGATGGAGCCCTGACCAATGGGATGTACACATGGGGCATCCGCTAGCTGTCAGGCCCGGCCCCCCTGGCTTGCCCCCACACTCCTTGGGGGCGGCACTCCAATGCTGAACTTACAGTCTGGCCCCAGTCTCATAGGAAGCTGCAGAGCCAGGGTCAGACTCCAGAACCACACCTTCCTGGCTGCTCTCGCAACATCCTGGGCAGTACATGGACTGAGCCCCAAGGCTGGCCCGCCCTGCTGCCATTGATGGTTGGATTTGTTTGATTTGCCATGACTGCGGTCTCTCCTTCACACACTACGCCCTCCCTGTACTTCCTCCCAACACCTCTAGTCCTGTGCAATTCACCTCAGCCCCGAGGCCAGTCCACTTACAGCTCTTTACTCCCCACATACAGGGAACCGAATTCTAGAGAAATACAGGGCTCACCTCAGGGTTACACATGAAGACAGCGACAAAGTCCAGGCCTGTTGGTCCCAGTCCGGAGCGCTTCCCAGCATTCTATTCCCTTTGGATCAGAGTGATTCCCCTCTTCCACCGCAGGACCCACCCACCTGCCACAAACCCTTCACAGGCCCACACACTTAACTTTCTCTATGCTCACCATCTTCCATCCACCACCAACCCAACTGCCCACTCATCCATCTAGTCTACTGTTTGCCCCACCTCTCCAACCACTCGTCTATGAAGGCATTCTCCCAACCATTTGTTCATGTCCAGACAGCCAGTCTCCAAAATACCCATCGTTCCAGCCACCACCTCATCCATCCACACATCCATTCACCATTCACCCACCCATCTCCCCGTCCATCCATCCACCCACCCACCCACCGTCCACTATCTACCCATCCATCTATCCATCCCTCTGTCCTCCCATTCATCCACAGAGCTCCAGAAGAACCTCTAGGGAAAGAGAAACCAGAAGCTGGGCTATTGAGAATGAGGAGCCATCTGGACGAGGCCCTGCAGGATGAGGAGGACAGATGGGGAGCATCACCTGGAGACTTCCCTAGTGAGGAAGGTCAGAGGACAGTGTCGGGCCAGGATGCCAAAGGGTAAACAAGGTCCTGATTCAACCAGCCCCAGCTCCAGAGGGAGGGGGTACAAAATACCCTCAGCACTGTCCAGCACGGCCACACACAAAGCGGGCACTGGACAGGGCTCCAGCCAAGAGGACCTGTGTGCCCCTGAGGCAGAGCTGGACTCAAGGGCAAGCTCATCAAATGCCAAGGGTAGAAGAAACAGAGGCAGATTACCCAGGATGCAAAGTGACCTGTGCTCACTCACTAATCTGCAGTCCTTGGTGACACGTGTGACATGGTTCACTTCAGATTAGTGAGCAACACAAGTCAGCTGATGCTCCCCTTGCCCACTGGGTCCTCCATGCCTGTCAGGGGCTGTCCGTTCATAAAGAGGCTTTGATTCTGTAGGAAGATGCTCTGGGGTTGGGAGAGACAGATAGCAGCCAGACCTAGAAACAGAATCATTGCTATGCAAACATGAGCTGCCCCCCCCCACCACACACACACACCCCGCCACCCCGGAGGGAGTGCAAACAGAGGGTAGGGCTGTGGTGACCCTTGGCTGCTGGGGAGGAGTAATGAACATGTCACCCATCCACCCTCCAGACTGGGACAGCCGGTTCCTGCTGACGCTCAGGAGGGGGTGCCCGAGGGCCTGGGTATAAATGGGGCTTGGAAGCCGGAGTCTCCAGATTCCAACACTCAGACCGGACGATGGTCTGGAGCTGGGCCTCGCTGCCCCTGCTGCTCCTGACAACTTGGAGCTCGGGTCATGGTGAGCAGGGTGGGAGTCCCCTGACCCTTGCCTCCAGGTATTTCCCACCTCCTCAGTCGGTAGGGCTGGTGGCCAGGGCTTCCTTCGCCTGTCCTGGGGCAGGGCTCCTGGCCCCTTCTCCAGGAAGAAACTGAAGCATAGACAGATGGAGTGCTGGGCTGGGCAGAGAAGGATTGTGGGCTGTCTAGGCAGTGGGGAGACCAGTGGGGTTAAGTCCAGAGGCTGGGCCCCCCACCCCCTTCCTGGAGCCCCTCCTCCTACTTCAGTAGCCACCTGCTGAGGCTCTGCCCCCTCCCCCAGCCTTCAAATGCTACACCTGTGAGAAGCCGGTGTCGATTTTCTCATGCAAGAGTGTTGTTTACTGCAAGCCAAAAGACACAGCCTGCAAGACCACCCTGATAACCGTGGAGTCAGGTAAGACTGCCCACCCCCCCAGTGCCTCCCCACCCTCCATGACTGCACCTGTACAGTCCCTTCCAAGCCCCTCTCAGGAGGAAAGGGCGCTGAGAAGCGTGTGGGGGGCGGGCAGGAAGGGAACCCCCTGGGGGACCCACCCTGCCCCCCTTAGCCTCTGTTCCTCCCTCTCAGCCACACCCATGCCCAATACTGCCCAGAACCTCCCGGCTAATCAGTTGGTACCCTATGGTCTAGGAATGGGTGGGAGGCAGGGCAACCTCCACAGCAGTTTTAGGGGTGGGGCTGGAGCTGTAAGGTGGGGAGATGGGGTGAGGAGGCGGCTGACCCCGGCTGACCCAGCTCCCTCTGCAGAATACCCCTTCAATGGGAAGCCCGTTGTGACCGGCTCTTGCTCCACCTCATGTGAGGCCACAGACCCCGACAGCATCGGTGCCGCCCAGCCTGTCTTCTGTTGTTTCCACGACTTGTGTAATGCTGCTGGAGCGATCCCGCGCGACACCTGGTCACGCTGGACAGCAGGCCGGGGGTCGCGCTCCCTTCCTGACAAGGCCTCAGATGGCCCCCTGCCACTCCCAGAACTTTCAGACAATGAAGAGGAAAGGGTAGGGGCTCCTTTCCTTCCTGGGCGCCTCCCTGCCACCCAGGCCTCTTGGCCCCATTCCACAGATGCAGAGACTGAGGCCTAAGGAGAAGCATGCCCTGTGCTTTCCCGATAGCATCTCAAACTAGATCCCAAGATTTCAGAGCAGGGAACATTCACCCTCAGTCTCCCCTCAGACCCTGGGGGGCTGGGAAGCATGTCCTTCCAGGGTTTGGTTCTGGACCTGCCTAAGGGGTTCTCGGGTGTTGGTGAGGTGGTGTGTCTGTGGCTACATGTCCACGACCTCGCTCTACCCAACAAGGGCCCCACTGCTTCCTCATTCAAGACAGCTGGCAAGAGGCGAGTCTGAGGTCACAAAACCACACTGAGCCCAGTGCAAGCAAGACCCCGATGTCTACTAGAGCCATCCACTGACCCACCCCGCCTCCTCAGGAGCCTAGAGTGCTCAAGCTCCGGGAGACCTGAATCCCTCTCACAGCCCCCATTGACCCTCCAAGGGTAACTAGGGGTCTGCGTACCCTGAGAACTGGCCTGCCCCAGGGATCTAAGGGCGGGAGGGGGCACCTGCCCGAGCGTGGCCCAAATTCTGTGCAGCAGAATCTTAGGGTCTAAAGCCCGGAAGGTCACCCCGCCTCTTGACTCTGGGCACTACTGACCCCTGAAGCTACCAAGTTGGGGGAGGAAGCAGCAGCCAGTCTCTTAGGAACCCACAAAGCCTCGTTGTGGTGAGGAAGGGTTCAGAGGTCAGGCCCTACGCTCCTGACACACACCTGGGGGCTTCCCAGGGAATGAGTGTCCCGGAAGCAGTCCCCAGCCAGGTCTGTAGTGGGGGAGACTGCCTGGCCTCGACTTCCCCATCGGAGCACGGATAAAGGCTCACGTTCTTATGTGGTGTAGGTGTGCTGGGCAGTGGAGACAGTGCACCTGTGTGGCTCCCTGCCTGCAGTACAGCATGTAGCCAGGAGAGGGCGCGCATGTCCCAAGTCCACCATGTCCAGCACTGGGAGGACTTCTGATACCGTTTGGGCAGGGTGCTACACCCACATCCCCTGCCCTCACACCCAAGGCCTCTACAGCTCAAAACCCTGCCATGAAACCCCCCACAACCATCCCAGAGAGGCAGCTGGGAGAGAGGCCACAGGTGGGAACCCAGGGGGGTCATAAATGAAGGGGTGGGAAGCTGGCCAGCAAAATGGGTGAGGGGGTTGGTGAAGGACCACTCCTACCACTCCTCCCCACCCTCCTGGGTGGAGGACCATGTGGGGTACAGTGCCTTGGCCCGGGACACACTAGTCCCCAAGTCAGATGCTCCCTGGGCAAGCCCGTTTCCCCATCCATGAAGTGGGCCACCACCCAGAGGTCCCAAGACTGCCAGATGGAGTGGGAGGAGCCCAAGTCCTCTCTCAGTGAGGCTTCAGAGGCGGGGACCTGCATCCCTAGGCTCTGAGGGGGATGTGGGGACCCATGGGTGTGCCCACTGATAGAGCACACAATGCCCCCCTTCCCAGCACAGACTTCTTGGACTCCGTCCACCTGGGTGTCCTCCCTGGCCCTCTGCAGGCCAAGGCCCCATGGGGTGCTTATCTGAGTCTTCCCTCCAGGGATGAGAACCAGAGTCCATTTACCAGTCAACACGGGCAGTGGCCGACCCAGACTCACAGTTAGTCTCATCAGACCCAGGTGGCTGCGTCCAGGGGCTTGCCTAACTCCTCTGGCCTCATCCCCTGCCCTGCAGCCTGGTCCTTATCCCAGAAAACATACCAGGACCCCTTCCTGGGTGGAAGCATCCCCTGTCCACACTCCCTCAATGAGGCCCTGCCCCAGCACGCTCGTATTTAAAATCCTTTAATCTTGCACTTTCTTTAAATAAACATTGATTGCAGCTTTCCCGGCAGGTGTAAGGCAAAAACAGCTTGGGAGCAGGTACGGGCAGCCAGGTGGCTCTGGCCTGGGCTCTGCAGGTCCCTGAGGGGCATCCAAGGGCTCCGGCCTGCCTGGGGGCTGGTGGGGTGAGGGCAAGGGCAGAGCCAGGTGGACACACAGCCCGGAGCATCCATACAAACACAAACATGCAGCAACCCCCAGGGCCCTCCAACCCATGACCTGGAAACTGAGGGCATCAGGCAGTGCCCTAGGCTGGGGGTCTGTCCCTTCCCTCCTATTCCCTACTGTCACCTTGGGCAACCAAGAGCAGCTGCCAGGCAGGACAAAGGGACAAGAAAGACCCAGACAACTCTGTCCCAACCCCAGCCTGCCAAGGGTGGCAACCCCTCAGAGCAAGAAGCGGTGGGCAGCAGGGAAGGAGAGGCAGTGAAGGGAGGCACAGGGTCCTGGAGTGGGCCCCCTGTCCCCGGCTGCCCCCTCCCTGTTCTGTCCTCCCAGAAGCCTGCCTGAAGTGGAGGAGGCAGTGCTGGTGGGCCGCCCACTCCAGGGGTGCTGGCCTCCTCACATCCTTCCCCCTAACCTGCCCAGGCCTCCAGTTACCACCCTGGACTTGTCCTCCTCACTATCCCCAATTAGGTCAGAAGCCCCTGCCAGGACCCCATGACGGCTTTAGTCCCACCTTGTCACACCTGCCCCTCACAGACATGGGATGCCCAGCTCCATTGTTCAAGCCCAATCCCCACTCACCCTCAGGGGCAGCCCTCCCTCTGCTCCCCACCGGGGTCGCCTTGGCCCTCACTGAGGGCTCTGGGACGTCTGCTTTGCCTGTTGGCTCCAGCCTGGGTAGAGCTGGTCAGGGGGTCACATCACCCTGGAGTGGGGACTGGCACAGAGAGGCATGAAAAGCCCAGGGCCAAGTAGGCCCAGGCTGGCCTGAGCTGGAGAGCGTGGAGGTGGTGGTCACTGGTCCTTGGTGGCGCTGCTGAGCCCACTCTCGGCGCGGAGCAGCTGGCTGCTGGCTTCATTGTAGGCAATCCAATGCCGCAAGTCTTCAGGCAGCTCCGGGGGTTCCACCTGTGGGGGAGATAAGGCTCTTGGGACTCCACACCCTCCAGGTCTTCCTCCCACCTGAGCACCCTCTCCCTCATGCTCTTTCCAGGGCCTCTGTGACCCCATCTCTGAGACCCTGAGATTTCCTTCCTGTGGACTCTGCCTCACCAGGGGCTTGAGCCCTTGAGCCCAAGTGTGAGGCTCTAGCTGAAGGGAAAGGGTGGAGATAGCTCTTGTCAGTGGCTCACCCCACAGATAACCACCTGGTTAGCACTGAGCCTGACCACCCCAGTCCACCTTCCTACCTACAGACTCAGTCATTTGTGACCGGTTACAGACTGGACACTAGGGAGGGGCCAAGCAGATGCTTATGCTACCTTGAGCATCATCAAATCTGAGCTCCTCAGTGTAGACTGGGTGCAGCCAGGGAGGCAGGAACAGCCCAGACTACACACAAGACCCTGGACACTTGGGATCCTCCCTGGCTCAGGATGGCTCCTGGCCACTACCTGGACCTCCCGATGTGGTGCCATCAAGGTAGCAGGGTCCATGCTCAACACCTACCCAACTCGGACCCCACCAGCCAGACAAGCCTGATGACCTTCCTGGCAGAAAAGCCCCTCTCCTTCCCCCTCCTCCACCTTCCCATTCTGGCTGCGGGAGGTGGCAGCCCCTCTGGGAACTCCCGTCACATGAGGTGACCAGCAGAGCTCAGCACCATAGACTGCGTGCAGCGCAGGGGTCCAGGAGTCAGCGGGCACAGGAAACCAGGAGCTGTGGCATGGCGCTGTGCATCCTGGGCAGGCCCTCTCTGAGCCTCAGTCCCGTCCCCCCAACCCCCCATTCCCCCTCTGAAGTGGAGGAGGGGATGAGGTTGCATCACCCTCTGCCAAGGCAGCCCTGTCCAGGCGCCCAGGGGTCTGGCGGGCCCTGGCTGCCAGCATGGTATCTTCAGTCACTTCCCCACCTTGGTAAACATCACCACAGCGACCCAGCCTCCCCAGGGCGGGGTTGCCATGCCTCGGGAGCCGCAGTGCTGGGAGGAGCAGGCCCAGGGGGAGGCCTTGGAGTCCCAGCAAGACACTAGCCGCCACCTCCCGCTGCCCACCCCCCCTCCAACAACTCAGGTATTAAGAACGCAGGCCCCCGCTCTGAGCGATGAGGCAAACATGCAAACCTCCTTTCACTGTGTCCCCCAGGTCCCCAGTCCTCGGTTTGGGGGCAAGGGCCACAGAGGGTGGCTTAGCATAGTGCCAAGCGCTATGCTCCTGGGAGAGACCTGGACTTGTTTTCCAGTTGAGGGAGAGTGGCAGAGGTAGATGTGACAAGTAGTGGCAAGGGGGGAGGTTGACAAGGCAGACAACTAAGAGTTTATTGAGGGACCCAAGGAACCCACCCCCACCCCCCGGGGAAATGCATTAAGAAGGCAGGAGGCTGTTTCCAGAAGCCCAGAGGAGACCATGGGTGGAGGAAGTACCGGGCAGGAGGCGCCTTGCAGGGGTTGGAGGGAGGGCCTAAGGGCGTGGTCCGGCTAGGGAGAGAGGGGTCTCACCCTGCGCTTGCACAAGTGTTGCACGACGCGCTCCGGCGAGGTGCCCAGCACGTGCTGGCGGGAGCGCAGCAGTGCGCACACGAAGCCGTCCCGCAAGCTGACGAAGCGCGCCTCCAGGTAGAAGGCGCGGTCGTCCCAACCCAGCAGGCGGGTGCGCACCTCGAAGGGTTCCAGCAGGCGCAGCGAGCGGCGGTAGCGCGCGCAAGAGGCGGCCAGCACGGCGCGCGCCCCGAGCGCGCGCAGCGCCCCAAGCACGCCGCAGCGGGTCAGGTGCGCGGCGCGCGCTACATCGGCCTCGCGCAGGTAGCGCGCGTTGTTCATGTGCAGCAGCAGATCCAGGTCCGAGGGCAGCACGCGGCCGGCAAAGCGCTGCTCCGCCAGCAGGTCGCGGACCGGAGGCTGCAGCAGGCGCGCGCGCAGCACGGCGCACGGCACGCGCACCAGGTACCAGCCGTCCAGCATCGCGAAGTAGGCGAGCGCCAGAGCCAGCGGCGCTACCAGCAACCACAGCATTGCGGCGACTGCAGGCGCGGGGCACTGCGACGCCCTCTGCACTAACGGCCCCGCTTCCTGGCCGGAACCGGCAAGCAGCAGCCGGACTGAACCACCTCGGAGCCGGCCGAGGGGGAGCCGCGCCGCAGGCCACCAGGGCCGCGAGCCGCAGCCCCACCCGCACCGCCGGGCTCCCCCCGCGCACAATGGTGTAGCCCGTTTGCCCGCTCCCTTCCGCCCCCTCCCCGCCGGCGCCTTCGCGGGCTGGGCCTCTGAACGCCGGTTGAGCGCCACAGCGGCATCTGGCGGCCGCAGCTGGCGCTGCGGGGTCGCCAAGGGCCGTGGGGTGGGCGCGAGCCCCTCGCTAGGCGTCTCACTGGCGCTGGAAGACTCGGACTGGCCCGAAGGTCTGATCCCTAGTCTTAGCAGGGGCAGAGGCTCCAGCGCTCCTCTGGTCCAGGTTGCGGGACTCTGCGAGGGAAATGGGAACAACCCGGTTCCCAGCATCGCATCTGATTGTTTCTATAGTAACTGACCGGGCTCGACTTCTAGCGCTCCCACACCCGCAGGCTAAGGACCCCAGTGCGCACGCGTCCAGCTCGGGTCGCACCAGTTGACTTTATACACCTATTTGGTCAGACACCTTTTTGGTGCACCTTGAAAGATCCAGATAACCCCGAACTCGTCCCCAGGCACCCCCAAACCCTTACCGCTTTGGGAGGGGAGAAATAACGTGCAGGGCAGAGGGAGGAAGGGCGGAGTCAGGCCGGGGAACGTGACTCAGCAGAGGCATTAGAGGTGTCTCCCCGCCGAGATTCACTTGCAATGCGGGTCCAGTAGGCCTCCCACGCTGTTGAATGGCTCGTCCTTCTTTCTTCGCTGCGTGGTTACGGAGGGCAGAAGCCTACAAGTCAATTGTCCCCACTCAGCCCCCAGCCTCTGCGTAGTCTATGACTCCTAATACCATGCTGCGGGGCCCCAAGGCTGCTCAAGAGAACACGCCCCAGGCCAGGCCTGGGCTAGGACCCCAGGTTCTCGTTGGCCAGCCTAAAAGAGGAGCTCCCTAGCGCTGCCACTGTGGTGGGACACGCTGGGACTGGACAGAGATCTCAGCCGACAGACTTTGGTCGGGCTTGGCTTGTAGGGCCAGCAGCTGAGGCAGAGTAGGATCTGGGTGGTCCTGGGTCCCTGCACACAGCACAATCAGTCCCTCTCAGGACAGTTCTAGCTGCCCTAGAAAGCCTAGCTGTAGGAAAGTCTTCCTCAAATTGCTGACGATTGCCCCTGAAACTTCCCTTTCTCCATCCCAGAGCTGTCTGTTTAGCTTGGTGTCTGGGCTAGGGGTCACAGTGAGGTCTGGGGTGAGGTCAGGGTCCAGTGTGGGGTCCTGGTTGAGGTCTGGGCTGGGTTCTTGTTGGGGTATGGGTTGGGATCTGGACTGGTGTGCTGGAGGGGTCTGGATCAAGGTTGAAGTCAGGGTTTGGGGGAGGAGGGGTCAAAGCTGGGATCTGGGTTGGGTCCTGCTTGACCCGCTGTGTGTGGTCCACTCTGAGCCCCATCTAGGGCTTGGGCTCTTTCTGTCCTTGTGGGGGTAGACAAGGTCAACCTGGAAGGCGAAGGACACTTCTCTAGGGACTCCAGCTCTTGCTGTGCAACCTCAGACACACTGCTAAACCTCTCTGTACCTCATGTGAGGCCCTAAATATGAAACCTTATGTGAGGCCCTAAAAGCCTCAAAGGAAAAAATTTTAAACTTGCATATTAGAAACACACAAGTGTCAAACTCCTGCACCCCACCCTAAAGGGCCCCTACTGCTATGATAAGCATCCCTGCGTCTGTTACTACACCCCACCCCTGAAGAGCTGTCAGTGCAAAGATGTGATAACTGCAAACTTCTGCTTCTCTATCCAGCTTGCTTGCTTGCTATCCCACCCAAAACTCAGTATATAAACCCCTCGCTATGAGACCCCGGGGCTGCTGTCACTTTCCGAGTGTCTCAGCCCCTGCTGCAGGAATAAAGCTCTCTGTTTTGATCTGAATTCCGTGTAGCGGTGCCGGTTATTTGGGTACAACACCTCACAAGTCACTTGTGACCTCCCGCCCCACCCCCACCCCCCAGGACTGCCATGAGGACCTACCCAAGGATTTGCAGGAAGAGAAGGTTCCGAGCCCTGCCCTTCTCCCCCGCCCCTACTGTGCCCTGCGGCATTCACTTCATCATAGTTATGGAGCCCCAATGTGGCCCAGATTCAGGACCCAGAGGTCACTGTGGCCTGGCTGGGCTCTCCTGGGAGCTGAGAAGGCAGTTGTAAGCTGAGCAGGATGAATCCATAACCGGCTGCAGGTCAGTGAGCAGAAGTATCAAGCAGCCCTCTGCCTTACAGAAATGTGTATTTTGTTGTCTTAAAATTTACAAGGGTGCCCGCCCTCCACCACCCACAAGCCCTGCCCCGTCTCTGGGACAGCCCCTTTACTCCTTGGGGTTCCTTCCAGGGTCATACTGTGCTGCCTCCAACCCGGTGCATGCAGTCTGATCTCTCCACCCCTCAGGGAACCAGGGTGGACAGCTGTGTCCTGTGTGGTCGTGCAGTGGGTCATAGGGTCACTTTCAGATACTTAAAGGAACAACTAGGAGTGGGTCTAGGGGTGGCTCTGAGGTCCCCACCAGCATCCCTTCCAGTCCTGAGTATTACCCAAGCTGGTGCTATCATTTGAACTCTGGGTGGTGCAGGGTGGTAGAGGTCAGAGCCCCCCACACCAGCTCTCAGTGTCTGGTGGGATGACTGCACCCCTGCAGGCCTCTCCCCACCCACCCTAGCACGTTGCATGCATACACACCTTGGGTGACCTGTTCTGGGTTCAGGGATGACCTTTGTTTGCCAAGAGGGCACACAGACCTGGGGCCCCAGGGCAGGACTTGGAGGGAATGGTGAGTCCAGCTGCACCCTGCTTCTTCCTTAGCCGCTCCACCCCAGGCACTGAAGGCTGGAATCTACCCCACCCCTGTTCTCTGCACCGATTGTTCTTGAGCTCCTGTCACGTGGAGGTCGCTGGCCCAGCTGCATTCTTCCGCTGTCCTGTGGAGGACCAGTCACAGAGACCCTATCTATGAAAACTGGCTGGGCTGGTGGTTTCTCCCACCTGGGGGCTCCAGAACCAGGGGAGAGCACTCGCCCCTCCGCCCCCATCCCCCGCCTGGCTCCCAGTAAAGCACGCACCTGAGAGAGAACAGCATGGAGGGGGCTCCAGGGCAGGGTCCACCGAAGGACGGAGAACCATCAAGGCCAGAGCTGTGGCCCGCTGGAGAGCTGGCTTCTCAGGAACCTAACCAGGCACTGCTTTCTAAGGACCACCCCGAGGCAAGAAGAGCTAGATGGTCCCTAGCTACCACTAGCGAGGCTGCGGACTGCTCTGAAGGGGATCGCATTAGAAGGTCCTAGATAGAGCGTGAGAGACACATGGAACCAAACTGACAGTCAGAAGCAAGAGCGGGCTTACCGCTTGGAGAGAGGCTAGTGAGAATCCTGAGACTGAACAGGTCACCCAGCAGGTCTGGAGCTGAACTCACCCCCAGACTGTTTCCAGCCAAGCACAGGCAGGTCCACAGGGGGAGCAATACCGGTAGGGAATTACATGTCCTTCTCAACCATCTGAGAGCCAAAGGACAGCATTACCTGAGGACAAAGTTCAGAAGCATAAGGAAAGAGGCATGGGACCAGGGAACACAGGGAGGAAACGGGAGGAGTGATGTCACATTGTACAGACCCTCAGTCAATGAGGAAACAAAATGCATATGAATTGTTGAATGGGAAACTGATCTGCTTTGTAAACCTCCAACCAACTCAATAAAAAGAGGTCACCCTGGCTGGGAATGGACGTGAGAGGTCTGTTGGGAAGGAGGCTAGTGGGTGGGCCTGACCCTGATGATGGCGTGGCTGGGGCCCTCAGTGCAGGCTTCAGGAGACCTGGGTCAATTTCTTCCTCCATTTCCTGAAATATCCTCTCTGAGGAGGTGCTGAGCAGACCAGTCCTCAAGCTAAGGCTGACGGTCCCAGAGGGATGCTGGGAGCCCCATGCATCTTGGAGGTCCACCCCGCTTCTTGCCAACCTCACCCTGGCTGGCACGTGCAGGACTGAGGGGTCACCCTGGGAGGTTGTGCTGCCCCTGATACCTGCTAAGGTACCTCCAGTACCACATGCCTGCCTGGTGGTGGGAGGCAGCTGCAGGCACTGAGCCTCAGTTTCACCCCAGCGCGAGCAGAGCTAACCCTGTTGTACCTGCATTCCTGGCCCACAGTAAGATGGTGGCTGGGGTAAAGCCACTAAGCGCTTAGGTGGTGGCAGGTAGCTGATGCCAAGTCACCAGAAGGGAGCTAGAGGGGTCCTAGCAGGAGACAGGGATTTGGGAGTCATTATTAGCCTGTGGTGAATTTTACAGCCACGAGACTGCTGAGTGTCTAGGGGGTGAGCTCGGATCCAGGAGAGAACCGAGGATTCAGCCTGGCCAGTTAGGAATCACAGGGGAGGGTAAGGAAGGAGGAGAGGAGTGGGGGCAGTTTTGAGAACCAAAAAAAGAAAGTGAATTAAGGGAGAGGGAGTAATCAAACTACATATTCAGTTCCTGTTGTTGCTGTAACAAATTACAATAAAGCCTGTGAAAGCCAGAACCATGTGAGGTGGAAACCAGTCAGAGAGGGAAAACTCACATATTGGCCACTAAAGCGAGACAGCTGCCTAGCCAACCAACTGGAAGAGATCCATATTTGTGCCCATTCCAGATACAGAAATCATTCAACAACATCATTAACATCACAGGCAAGTAAAGTTTTGCTGAAAATAATTCCAAATTGGTTGCAACCGTACAAAAACAGGAAGCTGTCAGAAATTCAGACAGGATTTAGAAGATGATGTGGAACTAGGGATAGCATTGTTTTTGTCAGGTTGGTCTGTTGTCAGCAGGAAGCAGAGAGCACCAAGAAGAGCTTTACTTGTGTCTTATTGACTATGCAAAGGCATTTGACTGGGTCATGACCAGCTATGGAA